GGGGCAGGATGAACCCTCCATTCCAACCTCATTTTATACCATGTTCCTCCAGTCTTTACAGGTAGTAAGAATTCCAGCCCTCAGACCACCCATTTCCTCCCAAGGTCAGAGTCTGTGCTTGGCCTGTATAATGATAACAAATAGATGATTCTGTTATGAGCACATTCAGAGGCATGTGCTTCACTTTGTGTTTACTTCATTCTTTGGGTCTCTCTAGTAAACATTGGATGTCCTTGTCACTGCCATTTTTTCCTCTCACCTCATTCTTACCTAAAATAAAAAAGCCAATCCATAACTTGACTATCTTATACATAATTTCAAAAATCTTTGGAAGATATTTTTTTGGGCAATTTTAGGAGGCTTGGAGGGCTATCTAAACCCTTCCTTGTTGTTTACACAATGAATAGTGAGGTGGACCAATGAGGGATGCCCTTTCTGCCTAGTCTATCTGTAGAGGTAACTCTCCCACTTTGCTCGATAGTCCTGGAGACCATATGACTAGTGGTGGAGCTGGGAGAGAAAAAGATTTTCCACTAGAGCTGGCGTACAGTAATAAAAGACAAAAAAGATAGACGCACTCTATGAGTGGAAAGAGAGCAGACATGTGGTAGATTATGGGATACTTACCACTGTCCAATAGGTTTGGTAAATTACACTATTGATGCACATATCCACCAGCAACAGAATTATTCCAACAAGAGCAAAGATACAACTAACAATATTCATTCCCAGGCTGCTTTTTATCTAGTGGAGATGACAAGAAAAATAAATTATATATAGGATCCTTGAAATGAAATGGAATAAGAGTCAATCAGATTTAATGGTTCTTAATCTTGGAAATCTTGAAACAATTTTTTGAGTTGAAATGATGTTTTCTGCCCTTCTGGGTAGTTACCATAAACATTACTCTGTATGCAGTCTAGATGTAGGGTACTTCTAAAAAGCTGTACAAAAATGTAAAGCAGGAGCCTTTATTTGTCTAAAAGCCTCATACACAATAACAACTACGTTTTCTTTATAAAAACAATAAAAGAACAAATATACTTTTAATGAGCATTTTTCTGTAATAGGCACGGTGTTAAATTATTTAAATACATTATCTCATTTAACTCTTACAGCCATTGTATGAGGTAGTACGATAGCATCTGATTTTATAGATAGGAAAACATATAGACAACAGTTTTGCTAATAAATTTAGGAATTAATGAACACCCTGAAATCTCTCAAATGACTAGGTAAAGAACCCCAAATTTAGAAGGAGAAACTCTTTAGGCATTTGTGGGTAGAGGTGTGGGCGAGTACCTCAGTTTCTACAATAAGATTTTGACATACAGTAGAATAATTGTGAAACCAAGTCCTCAGCTGCCTTGCTATGGGTGGCACAAAGTTCTTTAGGATGTGCTACTGAGTCAACATGCCTTAGGGTCTCCTGAAGCCCTCTAAAAAGATATTAGAAAAATTGCCTTAAGTAAGTTTCAGTGCTTGTCTTCTCCAAAAGGACAGACTCTATGCTTGGACAATCTTGGTTAGAGGGAAGAACCCATAGAGGATGCAGAGGAAGGGTATTTTATTTATTGTTATTGGATTACAACAGGATTTGATTAATCAGGACTAGGATGATTTTATTTTAATTTAATTTAATTATTTTGTTTTTGTTTTGTCTAGAAAAACATGAGCCACACAATTCTATGTTCCTGTTTCCCCATTATTTCCTCTTCTGTTGGATTACATGTAACCTTCAGAACACCTCTGCTCTAGTTGGCTCTAGTTCTCAGCAAATCATTTTCTTCCTTGTGGTGTAGACCAGGAAATTGGAATAGGTGGGGTGCTATGACTGAGAGAATTGAAAGCCTTGTCTCAGTGATTGTTTTTATAAACTCTTCTTATGGAACAAACTAGATACTTTTAATGGTGATTTAAAGAACTGTAAAACAGTCTATGGCCCTACCACCCCGAATATCAGAAGCTAAGCAGGGTTGGGCCTGGTTAGTACTGGAATGGAAGTATTGTAAAACAAAAACGCAATCTGAATAAGAACAGGAGACATGCACAAATGAAAAATAAAAATACAAGGCAGAGCCGAGAAATGGCAAAGGAACAGTAAAGATTTTGTTACTGAAGTGGCAAGGAGGTGTGTCCTGGCTCCTGGATTCTTCTTTGCACTTCCCCTAATGTGACCCAAATGAACTAGGGAGCTTTTAGATTAAATCTTAAACTAGCCTTACCTTTACTACTTCCCACCCTTGTGAGTTCAAGTGTTAGGACGTGAGCACTGCCATTTCTGAGCAGTAAATTGTGCGGACCATTCCCCCATTCCAACACACAGACCACGAGGGCAGCCAACACCTGTTTTGGGAAATGTGCTCCCATTCCGATTTTCTAAATCTACCTTTTCAATTTTCCTCCCCAATAAATTAAACTCATATTTAAAGAGGTTTAAAAAGTACAAACATTTTAACTTACCAGACAAGAGGAAAACTCCTTGGTTGCTGATACAGACAGAGAGCCAGAAACAATGAACTGTAGAAATAGACAAATTCGTGAAATGGTGGGTTCGCTGGTTGTACCTGGGAACTTCTCTTTATCTGAAAATTTGGTCTATTTATATTCATCTAGTTTCCCTCTTAAAATTTCCTCTTGTGCTTCTCAATTTTCTGGAATAACTCTCAGGGATATGTCCTTGACTTCTTCTTTTTTTATTTTTTCTCCTTAATTTCTTGCATATAAAGAACTCCTCATGTAAGCTTTCCCTGTTCTGATGATTCCTGAGCTTACTGCTCAATCTCTTCTTGTTATCAATTGCATATTTTCAATCATGTTTCCAGTTACCTCTTTTGCTACTCTCCACCCGACACATACATTTCCATCTAAAATGTAATAGGGAAACTAAAATTTTGGCTTGCTGATTACTTGATCAGAGTAAACTTGAGGGTATAGGCTTAAGCTCCTAGTTAAAATGGGGAGTAAGTTTCCCCTATTTTATACCCAATCAGAGCTGTTATTTCTCTAAATTCTCCAGCCGTCAGATGCAGGGCTTATCAAGAAATGAGTTGACTAGGCTGGAGATACCTATGCTTTGTGATCTGAGAAAGAGAGGTGTTCTAGCAACCTACTCACACAGAGGCCACCCCAGAATGGATATCCGCCAATAAAAGTAGTAGAGCCAAACCCCCAATATTGTCCATCTGTGGCGCTTAGTAAACCCAAAATAATTCCGAAACCAATCTGCATCAATCCAATCACGATCTGGATCGCCTGAAAAAAGAAAACAGCCATTTTAAAATGACTTCTTCACTTTCAGCCCTATGAAAGCTGCTCCTGCTCCTTTATTGTCAACTTTGCCAAGATCCACGGGTGTCATTTGGGCATGCGTTGGAAGCGGGAGGTGGGCTGTAAGGATTTCGACATGCCCTGGAATAACGGGGGCAAGGGGTGGGTGGTGCTAGGACCCCAGCACAAGGTCTTGTTTGAGATATCTGGGGAGACTAGCTGGGGCGGCCCAAGGAGAGCTCTCTGAAAGTGCATGCTTAAGCATGCATTAGAATTTCCTGAGAGCTTCTAGAAGACTGTTAGAAAGAAAAAACAGTTTGGGACTTCAGTGGCTGTCTTGTTCAAATGAATCAATTCCCTGCTTGGGTAATACCAGTTATGGGTAAAGGAATCAGTGAAGATAAAATCTTCTACTGGGCATTAATTATGTGCTTGATGATGTTCTAAATACATTTATTGCTTCATGTAATCCTCCCCCAAACTGGATGGAGACACAGAGACATAAAGAAATTAGGCGTCCAGCGTCCCAACTACTAAGGGGAAGATCTGGGAATTTACTGTAGCAAATTGACTCCAGAGCTCACATCTACCTGGAGAGTACAGAGCTCTTCAGTACTGCCTTCTCTCAGGCTCAGCTCAGCTCCGCCTCTTCCATGAAGTCTTCCTGATTACACCCATCAAATTACCCTATCTTTTTGTTTTTTTATTTCGGCAATTACGGGGATACAAATGTTTAGGTTACATATATTGTCTTTGCCCCACCCAAGTCAGAGCTTCAAGCGTGTCCATCCCCCAGAAGGTGCGCACAGCACCCGTTAGGTGTGAGTATATCCATCCCTTCCCCCCCGCCCACCTGCCTGACACCCAATAAATGTTATTACTGTAAGTGAACTTAAGTGTTGATCAGTTAATACCAATTTGATGGTGAGTACATGTGGTTATTGTTTTTCCATTCTTGTGATACTTCATTTAGTAGAATGGGCTCCAGCTCTATTCAGGATAATACAAGAGGAGCTAGATCACCATTGTTTTTTGTGGTACCCTATCTTTTTTCTTTCTAAATTTCTGTTGCATCTCACGATACATAATACACCTTTATACTTGGTTTTATATTCATTTGTAATGTTCATTTTCTTTAAAATTGCAGGTATGAAATCATTTTCTTATCAGTTGAGAGACACATTACCAAAGATAAGGAAGATCTCTTTTACTTCCTTGTGCCTCTTATTGCACCTTCCTTAATCCTAGATAAACATAGATTTCTGATAAATATAGTTGCTAGATTGGTGTAAAAGTTTATTGCAGATTTATACTTCATTTTTTCCGACACTTATGTTCTATCTATCCAGGAAGACTGCAAATAAAAAGATTGCTGTGTTTATTTTTTCAATAAATTATCTACTGAATACAATTAAATTGAATTAAAATTAGAAAAAGACAGTTTCATAAATAACACTGAGATTAATTTTTTTGAATAAAGAAGTGCTTTGAGATTCTGATAAAAGTTATGAATTTTTCTCCCTGAAAAATTACTCTTGTCCATCCATGCACATGTGCACCACACTGTTGCGTATAGCTTCAGAGTGGTGATAGGCCTCTTTTAGCCAATCTCGCATGAAGAACTGCATTAGACTTTCTATGTGGTTTTTACAAGCTCTTCTCCAGAGCAGCAATTCAGTCATCTGGCTGCCGACTTCCCATCCTCATCCTTGCTCTCATCTTGATGAGGGGCAGTTATGTCTTGGATTCATACCGGCCTTCTTTTCTCCTCCTACAGCCCTGGCTGTACCATTTATTGATCAAAATTGCCTGTATGACAGAGTTAAAAATTTGGACAAATAATTTGCCTGCATTTTTGGCCACACGACCACTGTAAGTCCTGAGTTGATTGGTGCAGATGCTCCACATCCTGTCACCGTGGCCCCTGCACTGTTGTGGTGACTGGGGGCTGCTTATGGCTGGATGTACAATCTTCAGGGAGAGGAAGTAGCTTCTGCCAACTGGAGCTTTTAAAAAACAAAACCTCACTTATCCTTTAAAAGCATTTTTATTACACACCTCTTCCATACCCGGCAGCATGCTCCAATGGCTCCTCCTTCCACTCAGTAAAAGCAAAGTCTTGGGCTCTCGAGGCCTCACCAGGTCTGCCCCTGCCACCCCCTCTGCCCTCCTGCCAGCTGCTCCCTCCCTTGCTCGTTCCATTTCTACTTTATTGGCCTCCTCCCTATTCTTCAAACACATCACACACATTTTCATCTAAAGACCTTTATACTGGTTGTTCCCTCTTGCCTTGATAGCTGCATGGCTCACTCCTAACTTCATGTCTTTGAGCCCACACCAGCCAACTTGAACTTGCTACCCCCTCACTGCCTGGTACTTCATATCCTTTTTCACTGCCTTATTCTCTCTGTATCATTTAACACCTTTTAACACACTGTGTACTTTACTTCTGCACTGGTGTACAGTCCAATTTCCCCCACTAGGTTTTAAGTTCTTTGAGGGCAGAGATTGTTCCTGTGTAGTGCCCTTTATTGTTTCCAACACCTGCGATCTGTGTGGGGTCAGCTGTGTGTGCTGGTTTGTCCCATTTGCTCAACAGGAGCAGGGAATGTCTTCTGACCGGGGGCAGAAATCTAGGGAGCTGCCTCCACAGCTTAGATGGGCTGCTGGAGGGGAACTGATGGTCGTTTTTACTTTCCTAAAACATCAAACCTTGAAATAGGTAGTAAGTTGGCTAGAAGAGTTTCTGGGACATAATAGGCACTAAATATAATTGACGGAGGAGTTGGAGCTGCACATAACAGAGAGATTTAACACAATTTGGTGGAATTATATTAGTGGTATGAATGAGGTATCTGCAAAGCACAGCAAAGGGACTAATAATTCCTTCTAAGCAGGTGGAATCTTCACCTACAAGTAGGGTGCATTTTTACAATGCCTACGGAAACAAGGTGTTCAGTTCAAAGTATCCTTTGTAGAAGTCAGGTGACAGTTAAGTCATAGTATCTCCAAGGGTACCAGTGATACACAGCAGAGAGAATGCCCCCTAATTCTTTCACACTCAGCCTTCCCCAGACTGTCCATTTGTAGTTTCTTCCCTTTTAAGGCAGCCATCGATATTTATTTTAATGTGAATTCACCTGTACACAAATACCGGGCTTGTAATCAATCCAGAGACAGTATCGAGGTTGTTTAAAAAGTCCTTTGCCAGAAGTGAGATCAAGCTAGAAGTAGTGGTGCTCTTACAATGTCAATGTTACCAAATCTTCATGCTAACAGTAAAGTCCTCTGTCACCTGTTAGATTCTTGCTCGAATCTAAAATGAAATGAACTTGATTTATATGCAGACTAACTATTTCTACCTAAGAGAGACATGGGTTCCTGAATAACGTTCAGGCTTTTTAATAATTGGTTTGAATTCTCTCCACCTATAGTTTATAGGTACAAGAAAATCTTGCAAATGTATAATTAAAATTCTGGTAGTAAATAGACTTACCCCTAGTGTCTTTGCTTCTTCCATAAAATTTGTTGCTACTGTTCCCATAGATGGATTTGTCATTTGCGTATTTCCTTGACCCAGCTGACTGCCAGCAAAGGCTCCTGGAGATGTGATGAGGGGAGGCTGGCCACTCTGAGCTTGGTTTCCTTGGTCTATTGAACCCAGAGGCTGAGGCTGTTGAAACCTAGGAGCCACAAAGCTGCTTGCTGGGTAAGGGTTGGGAGTGGTTTCATGAACTCCAGGGTGGCTTGTTGGCTTGGATGACATCGTTGTGTCCTAAGTATTACAAAACATACCAAAGTGATACATTCACCCAGAAAAGAAACTAAAGAAAATCTTGTTAAATGTCCATTATCTATGCAGAAGGAAGAGAGCAAGTGAGCAGATAATGAGCAATGGCAACTAATAAAAACATGACTCTCATTTGACTTTGGAATGAGAATCCTATATAGCCTATGATTTGGAGGAAGTGAAGGAGGGGAAGATGGGACTATATTTATTTCCCAATTTTCATTTCGTTTTGTAAAGTATATATACATATGCATGTGTGTGTGTGTGTGTGTGTGTGTGTGTGTGTGTGTATCTTCTCTGAGTTCATAGTATCTGAAGGACAACAGGAAGAAGGGACTGCGGTAGGCAGAATAATACCACCCCCCCTACCACCACCGGTACTGTGATAGAATAATAACCCACCCCCACCCCACCAAAGATGCCTACATTCGAATCCAGAAAGCTGTAAATACGTTAGGTTACATGGCAAAGGGGAATTGAGGTGGCAGGTGTAATTAAGGTTGCTTATTAGCTGCTTATCTTAAAATAGGGAGATTGTCTTGAATTATGGTGGGCCCGATGTAATCACGAGTGTCCATAAAAGTAGAAGAGGGAGGCAGAAGAAAGACAGAGAAAGGGAAGCTAGGGTTGGAGGGTAGGAGAGGGTTGGAGAGATGCTATGCTGCTGGCTTTGAAGACGGAGGAAGGCATCCATGAGCCAAGGAATATGGGCGGCTGCTAGAAGGTGGATAAAAAAAGGACACAAATCCTTTCTTAGAGCCTCTGGAAAGGAACATAGCTCTGCTGACACCTGATCTTAGCCATGTAAAGATGGTGTTGGATTTCTGACCTATAGAACTGTCAGATCAAAAAGTATGTTGTTTTAAGTCACTAAGTTTGTGGTAATTTGTTACAGCAACAAATAGAAAACTAATACAGGAGTCAATCATATAATTGGATGGCAAGGAAAGCAGTCCAAGATTAAAATTATTTTAATAATTTTAATAATTGGAAAAGTAATAATTAATAATTTAGTAATTGGAAAAGTAGATAGTTCATATATGGCCACTTAAGTTAATTCTCTTGTTTTTTAAGAAAATTACTCTTGAGATTTCTTACTTATTTTTGTACTTCTAGAAGTGTAGAGCATCTCAGGCCCCATGTGGCCAAAGGAAATTTTGTTGGAAATAAACCAGCATAACTAGTTATGGACAAGAATGACTATTAATCCTTGAAAAAAAATTATGATACTTAAAAAAATTAGTCTTTGGTGTCCCTAGATTCCTTTGGTTGAGACCTTATCCTTAAACCATTTTCTTGGGCTTCATGAATATCAAGAAAGTAGGAGTAATGAATGCCCTCATCCTTGGCATGAAGTATGAATAATACGAATAACCTGTTGGTACATTGCACACTGGTGTTTTAACAGGGACACTTATTCAGATCCTGTACTCATAGAATCCTGAAATTTCAAGGTAGAAAAGAACCTTTCCAAATTATCCTGTCTCAGTCCCCTGGGTTTACAGATGTGAAATTGAAGCTGAGATGAGTTAAGTGATGTGATCGAGGTTATATAGAAAATGTGTGGCACAGCTAGGACTTGAAAATAGGACTCTTTACTGTTGGTTCAGAGTTTCCCACTTCAACTACACAGCTTCACTGTGAACGCTTGCAGCTTGTCTTCCAGGCCAGCCACGATGACACAGTATTGACTCTGCTCCTACAACCACCCAACTACAAAATTGCTGTCTTCTGATGCCGTGGAGAGAGCGTTACAAATCAGGTTGATGACTTCTCAGTGATTCAGTAATTAAGTTAGTAAGGCCCCTCCTTCCAGCAAGCTGTCTAGAGAGCTAACATCTATTAAACACTTACTGTAGGCACAGCGGGGGCTCTATATTGTCATGTTTAGGAGTGTGAACTTAGGGTTAGAATCCTGGTTCTGACACCAGCTATATGTCTTTGGCAAGTTTGTTAACCTATCTTTGTCTTTGTTTTCTGTTTATAAAATGGAGCAAATCAGAGTACCTTCCTTATAGAATTCCTTTGAGTATTAAAGAGTTATTCTATGCAAAGTGCTTAGAATAGTGCCTGTGACAGCTACCCAGGTTGGCTTTCTCATTGCTGTGTTAAGTGTGTGAGATACATTCTTTCTCTTGCTCTTTACAGAACCCAATGAGGTAGCTACTGTACTAATGTTATCCCTATTTCACGATGAAAGAATTGAATCCTGAATCTATACTCATAACCCTTACCTTAAATCATCGGGGAAATGCAAATCAAAACCACAATGAGATATTACCTAACTCCAGTGAGAATGGCCTTTATCAAAAAGTCCCAGAACAACAAATGCTGGCATGGATGTGGAGAGATAGGAACACTCTTACACTGCCTGTGGGACTGCAAATTAGTACAACCTCTGTGGAAAGTAATTTGGAGATATCTCAAAGAGCTAAAAATAGAAATACCATTTGATCCAACAATCTCATTACTAGGCATCTACCCAAAGGAAAAAAAGACATTCTATAATAAAAACATCTGCACTCGAATGTTTATAGCAGCACAATTCACAATTGCAAAGATGTGGAAACAACCCAAGTGCCCATCAACACATGAGTGGATTAATAAAGTATGGTATATGTATACCATGGAATACTACTCAACTATAAAAAACAGTGGTAAACTAGCACTTCTTAGATTATCCTGGATAGAGCTTGAGCCCATCCTTTGAAGTGAGGTATCATAAGAATGGAAAAACAAGCACCACATGTACTCGCCATCAAATTGGCACTAACTGATCAACACTAAGGTGCTCACATGGTAGTAATGTTCACTGGGTGCCGGTCAGATGGGAGGAGGGTGGTCCACATCCACAACTAATGGATGGGAGGGGGTGTGTCCACATCCACAACTAATGGATGTGGAGCACACTGTGTATGGGGGCAGGGCATGTTTGTAGCCCTGGTTTGGGCAAAGCAAAGGCATTATATGTAACCAAACTCTTTGTATCCCCATAATATTCTTAAGTAAAAAAAAAAGATGCTAGTTACAACTGAAAATGGCTGAAAATTCAATGAAAAGGGAGAAAACACATTTCTGAAATATCTGATAACCAAGGGATTACTTTTTCAAAACAGAAACAAATGTTAACCCACAAAAGGTTGTTTTAAACAAGGAAAAATAGACAGTTCCATGGCTGTGAATCTTGGAGTGACTCCCTATAACTCTCGAATAACATATGAGGACATGAAGTGGTCCATCTTGTGGATTTGGTTTGTGTGGCCAAATGTTGCTCAAGCCCTCTTTTCTAATCCTCAATCTCCTACATCACTAACTCTGGAGCTTTGAGCAAGTGTCTTAAAGATATCCTTTTCATTCCTACGTCTCAACTGTAAAATGGCAGATGATGCCATTTAAAGGAGTTGATGTAAAGACCAAATGATCCAAATTCATGTAAAGCTGTTGGAACAGTGCCCAGCACATGGCAAGAGCTTGGTAAAAGGTAGCTATTGTTTTATTATTAGAGCCCAGGGTCTTCTATCTTGTTTTAAGCAGTGGATGTGGTCATATGAAAAGTTTATAAAAGGGATTGAACATCAAAAAGTCAATGCCAAGAGCAAGGAGGTAGGAGATGGAGGCTCAGGGTACAGTAATTAACCAGAACAAGAATTTTCTTGAGCTTTTCAAAAGTATACAGTTGAACAGTTGTCCCATGTATTATGATTTCACTACCTTCTCCTTTGTTGTTCAACATTGCACTTTTTGTCTTTTGAGAAATTTGATAAGAAAAACTCAAAACATTTAATTTATTTATCAATAATTTCTCACTTCATATCTGCTATTTAGTTTCTGGACAAAGATCTATATGTTTCAAATAGAACCCAGATTAGTAATGGCTACATCTATAAAAACTATGGCTCATCTCAGAATGTATTTTTACTGGGTCAACTTCTGGTTTTATAAAAAGAATCAAAGAGCTGAGCCACTTCCAATCCTTTTAGTGTATACCAAAATGGCTTAATGTATAAACAGCTAAAATGCATGAGAGGATAATTAATTATTCTATTGAAATGAGGATAATCTTGTAAATGATACAAGAAAAGGGACACTAATGAATAGATTCTTTTTATAGATTTTACCTTTTGACTTAGTATGATTTTTCTCTTGACAGTTGGTAAGATATTTACCATGAGTTGTCTTTTTTCTAAAAATTACAGCAACTGCAATTATTTTAAGCACAAGGAATACATAAAAAAATAGAAGATCTGATGAGATCAAAAGTATGAGACCATAGCAATAGGAGAAAAGCGCACCAATTTGCTCTTTGATTAAATTTCAAGTAAATATTTCAAATAAAAATTTTTCTACTTTCTTTCTCCCATGCTTTCACATTAACTTCACTTTTCACAGACTAGTATCTTTGAGAACACATAATAGCACATAGTGCAACATAAAACGGAATCATTTCCACAGAATCACAGGGATACAGGTATATAGCCTTCCACCAGTAAAAACGCTGACCTAGTCAAAATGAACAATTTTTCCCCATCTAATTTGTTTTCGCCAGAAATAAGCACCTTAATTAAAATGTATTACAAAACCCAGTGCTTCCGTATTTCTGTGCTACGCAGTCCTGTGGTAGCCACATTATCACCAAATGCTCGCAATAGGGCATTGGCTCCTCTTTGTGACTGATGTTCATGGAATGGCACATAGTCCAACCTGCTATGTCACCTTTCTTAGCATTAGCTTTTGATATTTCTTTCTTGAAGTCCATTTTACCTCTCTTTCAGTAACTGACTGACTTTTTCGTTCCTTTCCTATTTCATTTCTTTCCTGTTTCATTCCTCTCATGGTTTTATTTTCCCTCATTTACCTACTGGCCCCAACATAGACACAGGATTGGCTTCATCTCTCCAGCCTACAGCATGCAGCAGAGAACCCACACAGACAGATCAGCCCCCCTTCTGCCCCCGGATTTGAGTGAAGAGATAGGC